ATTTCTTCCAATTCTATAAATGAAGGGAACCCTAAAGAGCCGTCGGTTTAGAAGATAGATGAAATGAAATGCGTGAGACGCTATCGCATAAATCCAGTTGGAGAAGTGTTTCGACGGTTGGAAGAAGCGCTGGCAGAAGGGGTTTTTTATAAGACATGAACATAAATATTGATAAATGAATAACTACTTTTCAAAAAGCGAAATTCGAACGCAAGTAGGATTTAGCTGTCGTTAGTTGAAATTGGTTTATGATTTATAGAAGGCTATAGAAACCAGCCCAATTTTTAAAAGAAATCGTAAGTTCAAACATAAGCAAATCGCTAATCTAAATTATCTAACAAATGCTCTTGAGGTGTGACACTTCTTCCAACTATAATAAGTGTTCAGAGTATTCGATAATATACACACGACGACTCAATTGCCTGCAGCAGGTAAACGATATTCTCTCCTAAAGCAGAAATTGGTATTCTGTCGACGAACGGCAGCTCGATTTAGATATTTTAATAGTTTATTATATAAGATTAATTATATAGTAGTTCTACCTAACCTCGTCTTCATCGCTCACTTTTTTACCCAAAAGTAATTAAACGCAATTTAAAATTCACTTAATTAATATATATATATTTTTTTATCTCTCTAGTGTATATAAATTAAAATAAATAATTACATTATATTCAATATTTTTTAGATATATGTTCATTTTGTTTTTGCTTTTTATTCTTTTATGTAATAATTTTTACCTTTTTATAATTAATTGTCATTATAAGTTGTTGTGTTGTTTTGTTTTTGTTTGCATTATGAATAGCTTTAATTGCATACTTCTTCACTGCCATTATTATTTGTATTTTATATTATTTCCATATACTGTTATTAAGTTATTGCTCATTATGCTCCAATGAGATGATTCCCTTTATTTCTCACATTAGTTTTCTTGGTTTTAAGTATATTGCAGTTATGTAATTGTGTGTATATACTTGATTTAGGTTCTTATATACGTAAGTATGTACTCATATGTTTATGTGTGTATAAGCCCAACCGTTGCTCCCTTCACTTGCCTTTGCCTTGATACTAATTTACTTATAATAATTTTTTCCTTCCGAATTTTCTCATTCACTTCTTTAGTTGCTTCTTAGCTTCATCACTTCTTCGCTACGTCCTAAACATCCTAAACATCCGTCTACATATACATACATACATTCATCAATCACTTAATAACTTATTCAATAGCTACAATATTAAGGTTTATTATTTATTTCTTCTTAGTTAGATAGCAAGGTTAATTAATTAACAGAAAATTTTAGATAATTAACGAGAACAAAAACAGAAAGGTGCTAACAGTGTGGAATATTTATTTCGATTTGAGTATTCAGTAGTAACTTGACGCCGAGTCACACATACATAGAGACTCGCAGTCACATGTACTCATGTATGCGTGTGCGTAACAATCACTGCCATTTAATTGAAACTTCCGTTGGCATCCATCCATTCTGTGTGGATAGGCAGTTTTTTGTTTGGTTACTTTGTGGAAGGCCCTCAGGGTGGCGAAGGCATAAGATCCCTATAATTTGTGATATCTTCGTCTTTTTCACTGCCAATATCGGTTTAGTTATTGTGTTAACGGTTTAACGGCAACTTAAAATTGGCTATGGTTGCATTTTGATTCAATTCGGTTTTATTCTCTTTCTCTCCCTCTCTCTCACACTTACTCATTCACGGTTTGCTGTTGTTAATTTTTGTATTGCTCGTAGTTTGCATGGCAATTTGTCATAAGAATCGTAAATTGTTTAGAAGTAGAAGATTATGGAGAAAAATGTGTGTACTCTTAAGTATTGTTCGTTAGTTAGAAATTCGGTAAGCTTACGTTCCACATGGGATTTATTGACTTTCAATATGTATGTGGTATTATGTTCTATGCTACAATTTTCAAATAAGAGTTAAAATCATTATGGAATTTTATTTTTGTTGCTTTGGTTCGTATGATATTAATAATTGATATATCATAGCTTTTTTATTTTTGTATTTCTGGCTAAGTGAATACGTTCCTCTAGTGTGCTTTTGTATACCTTCCATGCATTTCGCGTTGTTTCCACTTAATATTGTACATACATACATTTCTGCTATTTATTTATTAACATATACTACATATGTACTTGGCTTGTAGGTAACTGTACGAGTATGTAAATTATTGTATTTACATTTAGACATACATAGATTATGTACAATGCATACGTACATACATTATACACTGATTTATGCAGGATTTGGGGTGCGTGCTGCGTCACCAAGCGTGTTTCAATACATGCCGGGTTTCAGAAAATCATGAGACGATTGTTTGTGCGAAGGAGGCAAATGAAAGTAAAATTAATTGAAAGATTGGAACCGAGAAAAAGAATTTTAGCTCAGATTATTTTCGACTTAAGCATTAGAACTGAGTAAAAATTAAATTTAATTAATTCGGTTTTAATTTTTCGATTAATTTATTTTAAATGTCATATATTTTAAATAAATTTAGGAAATACATATACATATACGAAATTGTAAATTATTACACTTAAGAAATGTTTAGAATTCTAGAATAAATCCGAAATTCTTAAATCTTTTTACATTGTTGTTAATTGTGAAATTTTCATATACATACGAGGTGTGTTCAAAAAGTATCGCGAATTTCGTGTTTTTTTTTTCAAAAAATATTTATTTATTCATGAATATCTATTTTGTTCGTCAAGAGAAGCGTAACGTCGTCCTTTCATGGGCCTCTTCAGTTTAGGGAACAAGAAAAGGTGTGACCAGATCTGGGGAATACGGTGGCTGCGGATTCATTAGTGTGTTCTTTTTGGCCAAAAAGTCGCGCACGAGCAGCGATGTGTGAGCAGGGACGTTATCGTGGTGCAAAAGCCAATTTTTGTCCCATCTTCTCGGCCTTCTGCGAACATTTTGTACCACCGATAAACGTTGCTTCGGTCCAAGGTAGCTTCTCCGTATGCCACAGTCAACATTCGGAATGCATCCGCGCACTTAATTTCGTGTTTACATAAAATTTGATACAGGTTCTTTGATCCATTTTTTTGAATAGGTAAAAATGGAAGACGATCCAAAACACGTGCAAGCAAAGCAGCTGTCAGCAATGAAATAAACATTCAAAATGGCCGAGCTTGTCGGCATAAGTGAGAGACATGAGTACCAACAAAACGCCACAAAAAATTCGAAATTCGAATATATGTAAGCCGCGTGCTTTTTGAACACACCCCGTACATATATATTAGTTAGGGTAAGGAAGAAGAGAAGGAACTTTTTAACTAGAAAATGTTTAAATTCTCTGTTTTCAATACAGATTTGAGATTTGAATATGTAGTTTTTTATTTAATTACATAATCGGAATTAAAAAATTAAAACTTAATGTTTATAATTTGATTTTTAATTCAGTATCTCTACTGAAAATTGGAAAAAAAAAATTTTACCAAATTTTTGTATTAAAATATTACATAATGCTATGTTTTGATATCAAAATTTCATTTTCAATTATAAAATCGGAATTAAAAATTTAAATTTTAATACCAAAATTATAACTAAAATCAATAAAATATAAATCGGTTGAGTGTGTAGGCCGACCACTGCTCCAGATTATTGAAAATCGTAGTATATGAAAAAGAATAAATTCAAAAATATTTTTTAATCATAAACTTGAGATTTACATTGTTCTTTATTTTCGCCTACAGTATTTGGGACTAACTTTTTTCAATTCGGTATTTGTGATAAAGCAAAATTTATTTTTTCAATCCGCTATTTAGAATTATAAATCTGAAAATTAGTTTTAGTTGCGATTAGGGATTATAAAAATAATAAAAATAAAAAAGTTAAATGCTATTTAAAATATTTTTTTCGATGCATTAATTGCAACCTTAATACTAATGTTAATTATTGAAAAATATAATTTGTTACGGATGGTAACTTTTGGGGTAGGTAGGAGTCTGCCAGTAAAATTTGATTAAGTAAAATTGTGTAAGAAAAACTATTTCAGTATTTTATGGTAATAAAAATGATATGGAAACTATATTAAGCCCTTTGCATTGCGAAACTCTTCATTTTGCAACAAAGAATATTAGGATTAATGAAAAGTACTGAAGTGTGCATAAGGAACAATATTTAAGTAACAAAGCGCCTAAAACTATGGAAAATTTTGTTTTAGCTTTCAAACAGTGTTCAGGTGTGAGTATAAAAACTAATATTAGTGCATTTTATGTCGAACTATAATAGCCGACTGAACGCTAAAGCAATAAGAAAAAACGAGTTTTCAGAAAATAATGTTAGATTTTTAAATTTCGTTTGCTCTTTTCTTTCACCTGAGAAGAATCTATTGTTTTCAGTACATTAAAAATGTAGTCGAATGAGATAATTCTGAATTGCGAAAGGTAATAAGAGTTAGAAAAATACTCGATTTCGAATATATGTATATATATATATCAATCGAAGGAAAAATTTAAAATTTTTCGAGTAAAAACTTTAATAAATCAATAAAATAAGCATTAATTGTTTTCAAGTCGCCAGAGCTCCATAAATAAATCACAACTCACGCGTGCCAAATTTTTGCTGATTGCCTCAATATACTACATGTAGATAGATAGTATGTAACGCAGTAAAACAACCTGATTAAGTGTAGAAAATGTCAATTGTTTTGAAACTACCTAAAAGTATGCCAGCGAATTTTCAACTTTCACACATTTTGCTATAACTTAATTTATTAATTTAATTATCAAGTGTGTGCATTTGTTTTCCAATATTAATAGTTTATTTAAATAAATTTCATAGCAATAAACATAAATAATAATAACATATTCACTAATATTGGACTTTCATTGTGTTTTTGTTGCTTTTCTTTTTCATATACCTGCGTATATATGTTTATATTATTAAATAATAATTTATATGTAATTTTAATTAATATAAATAAAGTATATAGCTTATACGGTAAACTATACGAGTATGTGTAGCTGTCGGTATGCCAATCGGTATGCAAATAATCGTCAGCAGTCGGTTTGGCGCTATTGTAGTTTGTGTTGCCAATTGTGCTGGTTCAAATAAAGAATTTGTACAAAGGTAATCAAGTCGAAAATTTCATTTACACTTAAAAAAAAAAAAAATAATAATAATAATAACAAAGAAAAATTACTTCAACCACAGCGCACTTTCGGGCGTTTAAATTTCAGCAGGCGTTACCCATGTGGGCGGCAGTTATTCTAAATATAGTCTATCACTTTTTGTTTTCGAAACTATGAAACTTTTTTAGAATTCGCATACATTTATAATAATGAATAAAACTTTCAAAGTTTACTTTTTTTCGTTTCCCATTTGCCAGATGTGGAAAATTCTTAATAATAATATATTTTAGTTAGAAAACAATCTATACGCTAGTAATTTTGTTTTGAATAGAATTTATTGTTCTCAACGCGTTTACTGTACATTTATTAAAGCTTTCGTACAACTTATAAACCGTTACACAGGCAACGCCTACGCACTACATGTGAAGCCTATACATGCACCCTGTATTGCGCTGTAGTTGTGGTGAAGGCTTGATTTTAACATTCTCCTCGTTTAATTCAATGATTTTTAATTGAAAGTTTCGATTTTGATTTGTTTGTGTGTGTTGTAGAAAATTGTGAATGTGTGTGTGCAGTAGTAGTAGTCAGCCGATTTACATACGTACGTTTATGCTCTATGAATTTAGATTTATGCATTACAGGTTTTTGCTTCGTTTTAAGTTTAATTTAGTACACGTTTTCGTCTTTCATTATTTACTAGGTGTTTACACAGCTTTTTCTCCTTACTTTTTTATGTAAGTCTACCTTTAGGATTATTATCATTATTATGTATAGTAAAATTGTTTACATACTATAAAATTATTATTATTTTATCGTGTAATTATATTTATATATATATATATGTATGTATATATATAAATGAATATATATTGATTAAAAAGACACTGACTGTTTGACTGACTGCTGCGGTTGAATTGGCATCGTTTTCATTTTTTTTCAGTGCATGCACACTCGGTAGTCTTCGCCTATTGGATGCGTTCGGGAAATCTGCGCTTAGTACCACTTCAAGAACTTTAAATTCAAGCAATTTTTAAGGAAGTTTTGTTTACTTTTTAAGAACATGCTGCGTGAAAAGTTACATTTTGGGTTTTAACAAAAAGATTTATAATAAACATATAAATAATTAATTTTAATTCATTTATATAAATATGTAAGAAAAATCCAAAAAAAAAAAATTTTTTTTTAATGATTAATTCAGCCCACCCTTCGTAAGAGCGCGCACTGCCAATTTGCAACTCAAGTCGGTCAGTCTCTTTTTATGTGTGTCATTTTCATTTTCACTTTTTGTTTTTAGCTATGGTTTCGTGTTTTTACCTTGTATTCGTTTTTGCTTGTATGTATGTATGCATGTATTTAAATTTATATTTTTGCATCTTTCAGCAATGGCACGACTTATTTCAGTATACGATGTACTCCATTTCGAATTCTTTACCGTTATGCTTGTGGAAGATTCTTAGTTTGTATGATGCAATGCTTTTGAATTGGCTATTGAAGTTTGTCTTTTTGTGTTTTTCTTTTCGAAAATTTCCTCTTTGTATATGTATGCCAAAAGTGTGTATGTGATTGTTTTCGATTTTGCTTTGTTTTGCTTTTGTAAAATGGCCCGGAAAATATTTTTCAAAATTTCGCTCTTATGTTTTATTGCAGCTATCTTTCTTCATCCTGTTGTTTTATGTGTGATCACGAATTGCCGTTTTCTGTCTGTTAGATTTTTTGTTGCATTTCTTTCTTATTTGCTGCTACTGTATGAATATTATTTCGCTTATGTCTTTGTTTTTCACTAATATGCTCATTTATGTTTAAATTATTGTTTATCTACGCATATGTTTCACTAGGTTAGGGTACTTTTTTTTAGCTTAAACTTAGTTTTAGGTTTTGGTATAGCGTCATCGTTTTCATGTATCCCTCCAGTTCAGCAGCTTGCATCGTTGGCCCTCATGCATGCACTGATTTTCTGTTCTTGCTGTTGTTGTGGATACGCAGTGTCTAGCGGGGCCGGTTGCCTTTGTAGTTGGGATTCGGATGACGTCCGTGCGTGTGCCGTGGAGCAGCTGAAATGTTTTTTTTTTATAAAGTTTTAGACAAATTTTGGGTCTTAAAAGAAATTATTCGTTTACCTGGTATCATCATGGTTGGATACATGCCAGCTACGGGTGCCATTGCAGGCCGCAACTCGGTCGAGGGCGATCGGCGACTGGTCGGTAGGGCAACTGAGGGCTGAAAGTAAGATACAAATATTGATATAGTGAGAAGTTTCCATAATTGAATTTGATTTTCGACGATTCGGTTGACAGCTATATGTGAAGTGGTTCGATCTCAACAATATTTTCGGAGTTTGTAGCGTTGCTTTGAAATAAAGAAGTTTTCCATACAACAATTTTATTTGGATCATTCAGTGCTCCGTCCGATATTGGGGTTTGTGATAAATGAGCAGCTTCTTGAGGAGAAAATCATGTGCGCATAGTCTCAGATCAATATCTCTAATACTATACGAAAACTAGCATATAAAGGCAGACGTACTGACAGACGGACATGCCTAAATTGAGTAAGCTTATCACTCTGATGATTAACACGTGGTATTTAAGGCATCTAAACACAACTAAGTTTGGTCATACATAACATATCCTAACCCCAGAAAGTTATTTTATGAATTATAAATTGGCTGTCTCCTCGGAAACCTCTAACTAACGGATGCACAGCATTGACACTTATGTATACCTCCGTATTAACTTACGTGCGCATAATAGGTTTGACCGTATTTGATGTAGACACCCGATGCACCCGGTTGATAAGCGCTCAGTAGCGGCTGATGATGCGCGACAGTCGCCGCCACGGCGGCAGCAGCCGCATTCGCCACCTCTGCCGCTGCAGCACCACCTAACACTGCCGCTGTGGTGGCTTGTTGAGTGCCCGCGAGACCAGCTGCCGTGCCGCCAGCAGTAGCGGCGGCCGCCACCATACCGCCGTGTTGCAGTTGTGGTGGAATGTGTGCGCCACGCGCTGGTGTAATGTACAATGGTGTGCCAGTTGCGGTTGCAACTGTCTGATGATCACCACCACCGACCATACCGCTGCTGGCTATGCCGATGCCAGTGTTTATGTAGCCGCTTGCTGCTGTGGCGGCGTAGCAATTTGGTGTGTTGGCACCACCACCGCCGCTCGAACCGACTATACTATTCGGCGATGTATTACTGCTATTGTCGTTGCTGCTGGAGTTGCCAGTGCCTGGCGAGTTGCGTTGTGAAGCGCTGCGCCTGTACTCATAGGTGACGCCACCACCGCTGCCCTTCTGACGGAACGTGGCTGCGCCTGCATTCAAGCGTATTGGTGGCTTGGCATCAGATGGCGAGTTGCTGTGGTGTACGTGGTAGCCGCTGTTGTTGTTGCTGTTTACGGCTGACATGCTTGGTCCGCTGCCGTAACTGGGTGGACCGCTGAGCAATGGCGTTTGTGGCTTATCGCCGACGCCACCGCGTTTATTCATGCCATGCGGACGTGAGCCTTGGTAGCCGCTATTTGGTGAGGCACGCGTATCGTTATTGCCGCCCAATAGAGGCGGTTTGCCATTGGCGGTGCCATTGTAGGACGTTGAGTTCTGCCGACTCAATGAATTGCTTGGATACGCTGGCGGTTTTTTGTTGCCACTCATATTTGAATTGTTGTTGCGCTTTTCGTGTTGCACATACGAGTTGCCATGTGGACTACTCATAAGCGTTGTGCCACCATCTGCTACACCGCTGACCGTGTAGTACTGCGGTGTGGAACTGCCACTGTAGCCACCGTTGTTGCTGCCGCCATTTGAGTTCATAATGGGCGGTGTGGAGAAGAGTGGCGGATTGCGCTGTGCAGTTTGAGTAGGTACAGAGTGTGGCGTGCTGGGCGCTGACTGTGAAGCGCTACCGCCGCCACTGTAGGCGGGCGTCACGTTGTTGGAACTGATTGCACCGGTTGGTGTTGGATGCGAAATGGCTGTCAGTGTGCTAGGGTCGACAATCGGTATGGCAGCTGGTCCAGGCGTGTGTACGGTGGAGCTGCCGTGCGTGGGATGTGCGGCAGCTGTAATAGGCGGGTGATGAGCATAGAATGGGGTGATCACAGCATTTGTTTGTTGTGCATGAGCTGCCGCGCCAGCCATGCCAGCCGTAGCTATTTGTGGCGCAGCCGTTGGTGGAACGCCAGGTGCGTGTACTGGTGGTGTGCCGGCAGCAACACCTGCGGCGGCAGCGGCGGCGGCAGCAGCACTAGCAGGCGCATAAGGGAAGATATTCGCATGCAATAGGGCCGCATGTTGGGGCAGCGTATACATGGCTGTGGTTGGAGTCGCTCCATTACCAACGTTGAGATCGGTTGTTGTGTTCACTGCTGCTGCTGCTGCTGCAGCTGCCGCTGCGGCGGCTGCACTACCTGGTGCCGGCGCCAGCGTGAGTGTGGGCATTGCGTGTCCCAATTGATATGTGGTAGTTGCACTGCCGTTGCTTGGGATGGCTGCCGTTACCAGCTGATGACCGCTGCTCTGATGATTGGTGTAATGCGAAGATGTTGGCCGCTTTACACGCCCCGTACCGAAATACGTTGTACCGCTATGTGTTTGATAGCTGTTCGTGGCCGCCGTGGTGTTAACAACGTGATGGCCACTAACACCAACATTGCTACCGCCACTGCCTAAAGCTCCAACGGTGGTGTTCGACGACGGTCCAGCCGCCGCCGTGGCTGCTACAAGGCCATTCGCGATGTTGATACCGCTAGTAATGTGTGGTCCGGCCACGGGTTGGGCGGTTGCAGTTGTAGGTGGTTGTGGCTGTGGCGGTGCTGGTAGGAGTGGCGTTGCTGCGACAGCGTTCGTGAGCGCTTGCTGTGGCACGTAGTATGTCATCGGTTGACCCCAGTAGCCTGGAAGTAAATTTATAAATAAGTATTTTCTGATAATACGAACTGAGCAAAAAAAATTAACAGCTTTACTTGTACTGTTAGCTCTATATTCAAATAATTCCTTATATTCGACTCCATCTTCATCAATATTTATTAACACTTACTATTATAGGCATATGGATGTCCGATTGGATAGGTGGTCATCGGTATCTGTTGCAATTGACCATTCGCCGGTGCTGCTGCAGCGACTGTAGCTGCGCCCGTTACAAATTGATCACTCGAATAAATCAATTGACCCGGATAGATGGGCGCACCATTGGCCGTGGCGAATTGTGCAGTCGGATAAGCGGCTGCGACGGGTACCATTGTAGCTGTACTGCCTGCTGCCGCTGCAGCTGGATATATGGCCTGTGCTCCAGCTGGTATGAGACCGGTGGCATCGGTGCGCGGTTGATTCGGATCAAATACAGGCATAAAATAGCTCTGCACTTCGCCCTCCTGTAAAACAGACAACGAATTGAATTGACATTTCAACTGTTTCTGTGGGGCGTGGCTTACAACTGGCGGTTGATAGGCATAGACCATGCCTTGTGGAATGGCATAAACGCTACCATCAGGCTGTGGAGTTTCAAATCAACGTCAATATAATCATTTTTAAATTTACAGTTTAACTACAAAATTCGCGCTTACCCCTTGCTGATATGTCGTGGTGCAGTACGGCGTACCACTGGGTGTGGTGGTGGTGTGAAAGACTGTCGAACCATCGGGTGCCTGGTAGCTTTGCGTGTATGTCCACGTTGTGGGCTTGGGTTCTTCGGAAGCGCGAGTTTTCGCTTGTGTCGACTCGCTGATACTGAAGGGTGTTGAGCGCGCTGAATGTGGCGTCTCGCGTTGTACCTGCACATTGACGCTACTCGTTGGCGTTTGACTGGGTGGTGGTGGTGGTTGTGCTGGTGGCTGTGTTACCGTTGTCGGCTGCAGTTCACGCACACATGGCGCATCCAAAGTTGTTGCATTCTGTGATGTGAAGATAAAGTAACACATTTAATGAGAAATTTTAGCAATTTATTGCATTGGCCTACCTCACGCTTCGGCAGCTCGTCCTTTTCCGCTGGTATATTCGGACTGGTGGCTTGGTTTTTGAACTTTTGCACCTCGATTCGGTCATAACTTTTGGTGGAGGTTGTGGTGGTGATGCTCAAACAACCCGTGGCCGAGGTGTTGTCGCATTCATCAGCACCCGATTGCGTGGATGCTTCTGAAAAGTACGGAAAACGTTTGATTTTTTGTCAACGCATCATCAACACGCTTACCTTCAGTGGCGTTGATCGCCATATCCAAGCCAATGCCGTCACAGTTAACGTCGCCGCACATGGATACCGTTTGTGTGGAGGATTCAGCCACAGACTCGGCCTGCGGTACGGTGGCGGCGCTTTCATTGCAGCCGACGCTCTTGCAATGCGTCTGCGTTTGGGGCGTTGGCGTAGCTGCTGGTGATTCTGCTGGCGAAGGCGTGGACATTTGTTGTGTGCTTTTATTCTTCTTTGTGGTGCTATCCTGCACTTGTTGTTGTTGTTGTTGTGACAACTGTTGTGGCGATTGTTGTTGTGCATAATTGGCGGTGTTGTTGCCCTGATTTGGATGGTATGTGGCCTGTTGGTTGGGTGGCAGATTGGACGGGTCAAAGTGATAAATTGAACTACAAAAGAATATTAAATATAGGTTAGGTACGGTTAAAGAGGTTATGTACATACTTGTAAAAAGCGTAAGAAGCAGTGTACATGTCCTTGAAAACTTATATTTTAACAAGGAAAATTGTTTTATGAATTTATTGCATGGCTTAGATTTCATTTTTGTTACTATTGCACAAACATATAAACAAATATATATATATATCGACAAAGACGAGTAGTTGTAGCGGTGCTTGCGAGGCAACTAACACAAATAAATACAGTTATGAATATAAAAATTACATAAAATTAAAATGTATTTACATTCGGGGAACTTAATTACACAATAGTTTAGCTTTATTTCTATAAAATATATATTTCTTACATTTTTCTTGTGAACAAAAGTTGTAAAATACATTTTAATTTTTTCTCAATACGAATGTGTGTGCTGTTCGATGATGCCTCCAGTTTTTGAAATATTTTTTAAACATACACACAAGAGACTGCCTTATATAAGCCAAATATTTACAAAATATGCTTTAAAACTTAATATATAAATATAGTTTAATGTAAGTAAAATATTGTTTTTATAAATTTGCAATATTATTTATAACAATTAAAATAACAAAAAAAAAAAAAAAATTATTCTGCAGCCTGTCTGAAGCGTTGCCGAGTGCTTGCACAGTTAGGATGATTTTGATGCGTTGGTGTTGACTCTGAGATTAATTTTTTGATTATTGTTGTTATTGCCAGATAATTTACGAAAACAATTTCAGCATATCAAGTGTAGCTAAGAGTTTATGCAAATTAATTTCGGCAGAGCGGAAATGAGTTTTAATATAGAGTTTGCAAAATGTTTGGAAGCAGTGTGGCATGTGTGGATGATAGGCTTCATGAAAAAAATTAAATAAATATTCACAACACGAGTACAAAGTAGTTTCGAAATCCACAAAGAGCACAAAGTTCGTCCATCAAGCAAACGAAAATATAACAATAATGTCTGGGTATTGGACCAAACCATACATACAAACAGAGATTAAATAATCAGTTACTAGTGAATTTCTTTTTTTTTCGAAGATAGCGAAATTAGTTCAGTATTTGATCTCGAAGTGTGAAATTGAGTTTTTTTCAGTTGTCATTGTAGGATGTAAATTACTAAGAATTAAATATATGGGTTCACTTTTCTTGTCACTTCTTATATCAATGGTGTACACTATATGAGATCTGTATCTTCGAAAAAATAGAAACTTTATATTTCGAAATTACTTTTTTCCTTAATCCTTTTCCTCGAAAAAAAAAAATGGTTTGGCGCGATACCCTGAAAATGTCGTTTTGCAGTGTAGTGTTTTATTGAATAAAGACAACGACGAAATCAGAGAAAACACTTTTATAAATGAATACGAATGAATGTGATTTTCTAAAAAAAATGTCAGGTCAAGAAATGCAATTTCAGCAAAATGTCAAATTTGCCAGAATCCCAATTACTTAAAAAAAAACATACATATATATATATTTAGAAAAAAGTTCGTTTATTGCCCTAGGAAAAGTCGAAAGTCGAAAACACAAAAAACGAGTTTATATAAAATATTCACTAAAGTTACTTAAAAAAAGTTGTTGTTTTAGCAACCGGAATTAAGCTCGGCTATATAGGATTCGCATTATTTTCTCTTATTAGTTATTTTAACAGTGTTAGAGACAGTAACGCAGTTGTTTATTTCGCACAAAACTCATAATGACCACATATGGACTTACATACACATTTTTCGATATGTTGGAAATTAGAAAGATGTGCATATGTTTACTTACACAATGAGTATGAATTACATTAATTTGTAGCTTTGTAAAATGCCGTTATAAATGTAGCGTGCGCATAAGCTGAGAACATTTTGCAAACTTTACATATTCAACAGAAAGCTGACGCACAATCACAGTCGATTTCAAATGCTTTCTTAAACTTATTTAGTTGCGTTTCGTGTTCGATATTAAGAGCATAACACTAAATAAGAATATTAATTCGAACAGAAAACTGGAAAATGAAAACTCGCTGACTACAGTATCACCCTTATTTACCGTCTAATCAAATTTGACCCGGATATTTTCTACATCACATTCATAAATCCACGTCTTATGACCAGAAATGTTCTTTACTGCAAACTCCACGATTTTCAAGCACTATTTCATTAATATTTTCGTTGTATCGTATCATTACATTAGAAAACTGGATGTCGCAAATTTAGTGTGTTGGCTATCTATGACATTGTTGACTACTTTTTCTGACTCGAATCGTATTTTCGTATGATTCCATACATACATACATACATATATATTCTTGATTATTCAAGATAGACAATAAACATAACCTAACCTAAAATTCAGAAAGTTTTTTCAAGTGATTTAAAATAATAACAACTATACATATTTCTTTAAATAATTTATTTGCTCTAACCATGTAAACAGGGATGTAGCTAGCAGTACATGTACAAGCTGGTGCAATTCGGCACTCAATTATGAGTTTATTTTCGACTGTGATTATGTGTTCGCGGACATTCCTTCTTGCACAGTAGGATTAATAATTAAAAAAAAAAATGAAAAACTTCAAATCTTGTTTTGCTTTGTAAATTACCCGTCTTGGTTAACAAAAGGTTGCAATGTTTGCGGATTGATTAGCACGCTGCCCTTGGGCACACTTGAAATGTCGGTGACGGCCCACACCAGACCGCGCCTGGGCAGCGGCACGCCGCCCTCCATGGATGGCGTCGGCGTTGGCGTCAACCCATCGTCTGCGCAATGCGCCGGCATAACGCCAGCACCGCACAATAGCGTCGGTTGCAGATGCAGGTGTGGCGACATATGGTGAACTGGTGACTGCAGATGACACACGGTCATTCTGTCCGTTGTCAATATGTACGGCTCCGTCGCGGCATGGTCCTCACTACAATAACCATTTGGTGAAGGTGTTACCGAATCGGAATACAACGATTGTGTTTGAGTTTTATAACTAAGATTGTTGTTGTGGCAGTTGTTGGTATAGTTGCAATATATCATATAATACAATACAATAATAATAGTGGTAATAATAATCATAATAATGCAGTAAAGAAGTTTAAATATTTAGTTGAATTTCAGTACTCTAATGTATAGAGCTTAGAAGCTTCTCAATTTGCGCTTTTACTATTAGCGAGACTTTTAACTCCACAGAGCGCGTGTATTAAACTTACCCGCTGCTGGATGGTGACAAACGCCATGGCGTGTTTGTGCTGCCAGACGAATCCTGCTTCGAGAAGCAACGCGCGCCACCGCCGCCATTTTTGCCCGAGTTCGCCGAGTCACCGCGCATCATGTGTGGGCCACCACCTTGTGAYGAGCYACCACCGTAATTATTGTAGTTGTGTGATTTGGGAACTGCGCCGCCACCGGAACGACCATCACGTGACTCGTTTGACTGKCGAAAAATCAAAGAAATGTTAGTTGAAAGTAATGCCTTGCTCGAAAAGTTGCTTTATTTTACGTTTTGCATCTTCATCATCTTGCCGTTGGGCCGTGGACGATGTTGCTGCTGCTGCTGTTGTTGTTGTTCCACCGACTGTGTCCAGCTGACATTCATGTAGCCATCGTCCATGCCGTCGCCGTTGTCATTTTGACTGCGATTGAAAATGCGACTGCGTGCGCGCTCATAGTCCTCCTCGCGTTCTTCAAAGCTCTTGGCTTTGCGGTCGAGCATGCTGCCGCGATCCGGACACAAATAGCTGCTTTGACGCGCCTCATCGAAACTGTGCGTGTCGCGCTTCAGTATTGACTTGCGTGTGTCGTCGCGATGATCGCGCACCAGCGACTTGAAGCGTATCTGCAAGTGAGTGGCATTAATGAGAACAACGGAATATAACGGTATTGTTTGCTAGACTTACCTCTGGTATGCGCGTGTTCTTCGTAGCTGCCACAATAACGCACTGTTGCGTTTCGGTGTCGACATTGTGTTCCATGCCGAAGAAGGCCGCTGTGCGATGTATCAACATGCGATTGTATGACGAAGCCGGTGGGAAGCGCAACTCACCGCGACTGTGAAAAGATATTAAAATTGTTTTCAATATAATAAGTTATAAGAAGTGATTTGGTTAGCTCACCTTTTCTCCAACACGAAATCGGTTAGGTCCTTTTCCACTTTCAGCAGGAAATGCCGATCCTTTGGATGTTTATTGAGCGTCTCTTTGAAGAAACTGAACAAATCGGTGCCACCATGATCTGTGAATTGCTCGCTCGAGTTCTCTGAGTTGTTGAAAACTAAAAATTATGAATAGATTAAATTGATTAAATACATTCCCATTACGCACCTCTTGATATGAATCCCGATGTATTGTTGCTAATCGAGTTGCCACCGTCAACGCTGCCCGACGAGGAGCCACCAATATTCTTCAAACGCGGCTTATTGCCTTTCGAATTGGAATTGGTGCGGTGCTTCTTACCGCCGCCACCACCTCCTCCGCCGCTGCCACCACCACCCTGTCGCTCATAATGTTGCTGCTGCTGCTGCTGTTGCTGTTGTTGTGGATCGTCATCGTGCATATTCGACAAGCTGCTATTCTGGCTATCGTTGCGTGGGCAGCGATTTTCCTTGTCGTAGGCGATCTGGTGATGCGACTGCTGTGGGCTGTCGTTGGCGTTCAGCTGATAGTTCATGCCGGAATTGTGCAGCGTTGTGCCGGCACCGCCGCCACCACCACCACCACGCGCCGCGCTCTCGCCAACGCTCAGCGCCTGATGCAGTGCGTTGCTTGCATTGTATTGCTGATGTTTGTTGTTGCTGTTGCTACTATTGCTGTCTCTTATACACATCTAGATGTGTATAAGAGACAGGTGCAGCGTTGTGCCGGCACCGCCGCCACCACCACCACCACGCGCCGCGCTCTCGCCAACGCTCAGCGCCTGATGCAGTGCGTTGCTTGCATTGTATTGCTGATGTTTGTTGTTGCTGTTGCTACTATTGTTTGCGGCTGCACCCTTGGTTGAATCATAGTTGGTCGCGCCGCTGCCGTTGCTGTTTGCAGTTTTTCTGCCATTATTGTTGTTATATTCCAGTTTGTTATTGCCATCGGTTACACCGTTGGTATTATTGCTATTGTTGTTGCTGTTGTTATTATTGCTGTTTCTTTGGCCAGCGCCTCCACCGCCGCCACCACCTTTAGTCGATTTTGGCGGTGTCAGTTTGGGGAACTCAGCTTCATTGCAGAGCGCAACGTTCGGTTGTTGTTGTTGTTGTTGCTGCTGTTGCTGCTGACTATGCTGGCTGGTCACTATGACGGCAGGCGCTTCGATGATCGGTGAATTGCCACGCGCCACATTGGATTGTGCATGCAATTTGTTGCTGTTGCTATTATTATTGTGTGCATTCTCATTGCCATCCAAATGCTGTTGCTGCTGCGCCTGATGATGATGCTGCTGCTGGTAATTGGTAGCGGATTGACCATTCGGTGACACCTGTCCGTGCTCGGCACGAGGTGTCGGAGTGCGCGGCGGCGATGTGGCCTCACGCATGGCGTGGCTGCGCGTCAAATGCTTACCCTTCATGTTACCCTGTAACAAGTAAAAAAAAAAAAACAAATAGGAGTTCAAAAGATTAGAATAAATATAAAACTTTTTGAAGTTAGAGTTATAAAAGAAACGTTCGGAAAATTGGCAAATCTATTTTTAGGGATAGTATCTTAAATTTTAAAATTGGGGCTCGTAAGTATTTGGCTTAAATCATGATTTTGTGAATCTTTTTTACTTACATTTACTTTCTTACATATACTAAAGCTTGGTTCAGCGACTAAGAATTATCATCTGATCAAATTTGACCCGGTCAGGTTTTACCTAATTCGAATCGTTTATCCATCCACACCTCGTAATGATGATAACATCAAAAAAGTTAGAGCAAAAGTGATTAAAATTGGTCGTTTTGATACCACGGAGATATCAGAGGATATTAACATATCTTATGGATCAACACATTTTGGTTATTCTTTTGGATCGGAAGCATGTCACTGCTAGACTCGTACCAAAATACCTGACGACGTAGCTGAAGATACAACATTAATCGAACGTATTATTGCTGGTGACGAGACGTGGTTTTTCCAATATAATGGCGAAACTGTTTACCGAATAGCGTCAAAAAACTGCCAAAACCGAAAAAATAAACAAATTCGGTGAAGGCCATCTTATTCGAGACTTATAACAAGTTATGGAGAGCATCTTATGCTTGCATTGCGTCAGGAACTCATATTGAAGTTGATAATAAAGATTTGCTAAAAGGCATGAAAAAATTTGTCCGGGTCAAATTTGATCATTCTCGGTTATGCAGCCGAAAAGAAACAAAATTGTAGGTGTTTTTTCCGTCCGTATGATTAGAAAAAATTTTCAGTACGTAAGCATTGCTACACATATTTTTACTCAGCCTAACGTTACATTGCCCAAACAAAATCGCGATATCCAGCTAAACGCTCATTAAAGTAATATTGTGGTAAAAAGATTTTAATTCTGGTGGTTCAAATATTATTCTCTTGGGAGGTGAGACCCACACGCACAAAAACTAGCTCTTAAGTGCGAAGTTACAATACGACCTTGAACAACGATAAAGCAAAGCAACAGCAAATTGAAAGCCAAATGGCTCCACATAGCGAAAATCAAAAACAAGCTTCACGCCCTCCCGAAGGCCTTTTTATTTTAATTCACAAATAACAACAACCAAAATCATGCAGCGGGTTTTATTATGCGTCTCCTACCCACGCCTGCGTGTAATGTTTAATGCACATACACCGGCATATAGATATGTATTGTATGTGGTAATAATTATGTGAGTTGCGGGTGGCAGCACATTAACCCATTTCCGTCCCAAGCCATGACTAGTCTGACCGTATGCCCTTCTAGCTGCGACGACTACTCGCCAGGCGACCTGTTTACGCGTGGGCAGCACAGTGCTTTAATAAGTGTGTGTGTGTGTGTGCTACTTGGCGCTTTGTTTGCGGGCAAATGTTTACGCGAAATTCCTGGAAATCTGTGGTGTCGTGCACTGCGACACATTTGCTTGCTGACGTCAAATGACTTTTGACATTATAAATGCCCATTTCACCATTGTGCAGCAAAGCACGCACGCACATACATATATGCAAACGTACATATGTATTAGCTGTACATTTATATAGTTAGTTTGGTTGCTGGTGTTTATATTGCTTAACTACTCATGTATATTAATAATATTTAGTGATGACATCATTAACCGCTATTAGTTGAGTAAGCTAACCTTTTGAAATTAAACTTCGATTTTCGACCATTTTGTGATAGTTTGCCTCAACAAGTAAAATATTGGATTTTATAGAGAATTATAGTGTATATGTGCCATCAATCAAAAAGGTTGTAGTAAAGTCAGCCAAGCATTTACTTTCGGTATGTTAACAAATAGGATAATTAAATTAAAATTTTGCCTACTTTAAGGCACAGAGTCATATTGTATGCTTAAAGCTCACATATTATCAAAGGTCGATTCTTCGAACGATAAAATATCGAATCGAGTTGTCGAATATTTATGAAAGCTATGTAAAATTTATAAAATAAAAATGAGTATATGGACGGAAAGTTTTTGGACCGACGAAATATCTCGCTATGAGCTTATTTGTGCAAAGATTATTGGAATTCTATAAAAGTTTCTTGATAATTCATCCATAGATTCACGCGTTATTGGTCCAAAATAACCCTACGCTTAGAAGAAAATGTTTACTTCGGTTAAGCTATAATACCCTTCAAAGGAGTTAATTTCCACTCACAAACTACATTTCGAGGAAAAATGATATTAACCATTTTCTTAAAGAAAAACTAATTGATGCCAAATTAGGTGAAGATATCTTGTGAAATATAAATGTTTGTAATACCAGGTCCTCATTTAGATCGACTCTTAAATATACTCAATAGGCACAGTACAACCAGAAAGCAATGCGAAATTTGTGAAATTGTGTTTTGGATGACTGAAAAAATCAAGTGCAATCGAGTTTTTGTGCCAACAGATGAAATATGGATATATTACACATCCGCGTACAGTCGGCAGTCCGCTGAATCAACAGTCGTCCATAGTGCTAGTTGGTTAGCAGGGTTTTAACCAGTATTTTTTGGGATTCACATTGAACTATTTTCGTGAATTATGTTGTACAAGGTTAAAACATAAGAATGAATATTCTTCTTCTTCTTAATTGGCGTAGACACCGCTTCCGCGATTATAGCCGTGTTGACAACAGCAAGGCTGATTATTCATTTTCATTGGGGGTGTCTTTTACGCGGCGGGTCCCAAACCCAGCGCACAACCCTTTGCAGGGAATGTTTCGCCCTCTCACTTTAGCTCGCCTTCAAACGGATGTTCTTAGGCTACCCAGAGGATACTTGGTCAAGGACCGGAAGTCGTGAGCTGCTTGAGCCATATGTAAAAGAATCGTTTCTGGCCACTCCCAAGTGAATGGCGATCAGAGCGTGAACTTCTACACATGACTCCATCCTCCTAACGAATATTACAGTGCTTCATTTAATCAATTGGGTGTCTAGACCTTTGCTCTAACTGCCGTACGACATTTCTTTAGCATTTTTACCTATTTCCTGTTCTTCTAAATGATAATTTTTCATACAAAAACTTCTAATTAAAATTGGAGAAAGAAATAAATTTGCATTAAATAGAATATCCGATTAGCCAGCAATCATATGATGGTTCGAGTAACTCTTTAACATTTGCGTGTGATTTGGCGATTCAAATGTTAAGTTACCAACAATAATGCAGTTGGCTTTGAACTTGAACCATCACCAAATATCACGAACTCAACTGTTCTATTGCACCTGTGCCCTTTGGCGGAATTTCGCTAAGGCGTTCAAGAGGGCGTGTAAGGTGTAGACTTAATGTGCTAAATAATAGGTGGTATAGCACAGTCACATATTCGTTAAACCACACTGTGTGTATATAAATGCGGCAGTTGGAACCTTGGTTGGGTCTTAGGCACTTGTGTATGCGTGCGCACATGTGTGTGTGTGTGTGCTTGATTTCTGCAATCAACAAACATGGAATAAACCACTCAAATACACCTCGAGCCATGTGATTGTTGTTGTTGTTTACCACCTAACTGATGAGGCACATGCATGCAGTGCTGTTCGGTTCAATTTCTTTGCTCTTCTTTTTTATTTTTCACACTTTAATTGTATTTTGCATGCGCTAAGGCACTTGTGTATCTGTAAGTATATGCACATACGTATATATTACTATATATATACTATATGCTTGAGTGTTGCTCAAGTAATGACGTAGGCGCGCCGATATAATGCTTACAGAAGCTTTCGCTGAGGATCTGACACTTTCTTCAGTGTTGCTGACAAAAATTATCTACTCAGCGACTATCGAGGCAATCGTTCACTTAGTTACTAATGCCAAATAGGCGAATAACTTTTATCTGCATTGAAGGACCAGAGACAGAGCATATAGTATACTCACACATTCTTATAAATGCATTATATGTCAACTTTTTAATTTTTAACTTAACTTCTAGAAGCTTTTTTAATTTTCAATTTTTCGCGACAATATTTGCATCTGGGATGGCAGTATAAATGGTTGAGGGCTTAAATAGAATTTAAATAGATATGTTGAAATCAAAATTTTAAAAGCATTTTTTATTTATAATTAAAAGCAATTTAATAACAAAAGAGGTCCAAAAATCAAGGTTATGTTGACAATCTTCTTCGCTTATTGAGGTGAGGTGCACTCAGAATTCCTTCCGATCGGCCAAACTCTCAGTAAGGAATAATACTCGTATTTGAGTGTTATGCGTTGTTTGTGCGAAGCTATTCGTGAAAAAGGCCGAAATTATGGGCCTAAAATTCTTGGTTTTTACACTATGATAATGCACCGTGGCATACTGCATTGATTCTTTGTAAGTTTTTAACCAAACTGTCACCAAAATTTTGGGCCAATATACTTGAATGATTTACCCTCGTGTGAATTCTGGCTATTCAGCAAACTCAAACGACCGCTAAGGGGAAACCGTTTTGTGACAATAAACCTGAATTGCTACACACATTGAAGTATATTGCGAAAACTGACTTTAACAAGTGTTTCGAAGATTGGAAAAAGCGTTGGCACGAGGGTATTGGGGACAAGTGGGGTTACTCTGACGAGAATAACATATAGGCTGTTCACGATAAGGTGGTTATCGGGTTATGTGGTTATGTAAAAATAGTATTCTATATATATTATGAATTTTGATTTATTAAAGTTATCATTAGAAAATATTTCTAGGAGATTAGCGAATTGGCATTTGCTGACGGGCAGCATTTGTAAAAATCTTCCATCGTCGAAACAACACAGTACATTCATATCCCCGTCAACTACAGATGATTAAAGTTATATCCTCTAACAGTTCATCTAGTACTTTATTTATTGCATTGAGACACTGCTCGCAAGGACACGGCGCAAGATGTCTGCAAATTGTATTCAAAGAATTTTTTGAACCCTTAAACTCCCGATTATTCAATAAGTACATACCTTCAATAAAGCTCATTCCCTAAATAGCAGA